TTTGACCTGTCTTATGATATTGCCAAGTTTTTTAAGACATGAATGTAGTTTAGATGCCTTGGAGGAAAAAATATGTTAAAAGTTGCGAACAGTAAATCTTTTGTTAAGAATGTGTTGCAGAGCAGCTGCGATAATGCTTTTTTGGATTTTGTGCCATGAAGCTTCAAGTGATTCTGTAGTGTTGTTTGTGAAGGGAGCCTTATTAGCTTGAAGATTAGATATAACTTGATCAGCAAAAGCTTGCCAATGGTCTTGGTTTATTTGTTTGTAGGCAAAAACTCTTTGTTTAGTTTTAGTAGCTGATCATCATTTTCCAGTAATGGCATAAGAAAATTTCCATGATGATATAAAAATTTTATAATCACTAAGTGTACTTTGATTGGCATTATCAGTATGATAAGAAGTTAAGTATCGAATAATAGAATAGTTAGCCCAGATGTAGTCAATGTGACTACTGTATCTGCTGCTATGCCAGATAGGAGTTAAAGATTATGTATGTTTTGCTAGATCATACATGTTGTTATATTGAAGGAAATGAATAAGTTTAAGTTTGATTGATAATGCTTGTACATTATTAGAGACGTTAAAGTCACCCATGATTATTGGTTATATGCTTTTGGTGTTTGCTTCTTGAATCCATTGAATAATATTATTTTGAATAAGGAGTTTAAGTTGAAGGTCATCACTGGATAAATAGACTGAAATAATGTGAAATTTAAAGGCATGCTTAAAGAAAAGATCTATGGCAATAGCATAACCAAAAAATTGAAGTATTTTGTGAACATGTGGTTTTAGGTGTTTTTGAATTATAATTGCTGTTTTAGCTTTACAGCTATCAGTGCATGACCAGTAATAGGTAAACTGTTAGGATCTAGGAAATTTAGTATTTGCATTGTCTTGTGCAATTTTAGTTTCTGTAATGCTAGCTATATTGATGTTATAAGATAAACAGTAATCTTTCCAAACTTGTTATTTTAGATTATCATTGTATCTTCATATGTTATGTATGCATATAGATAAGTGTAATAGTTTATATGAAGTAAATGTAGATGTTTTATTTGTAGGTAAATGAATAGTAGATTGTATGTTGTGAGTATTAGAGTGTGTAAGTTGAGAAAAAGTCTCAGGTCTGTTGACTGTGAGATTAAATGTAAAAGTGACTGATATAGATGAAGATTCTGAAGGTGGTTCTGTAAGGAACAATTGATCAAGTGAAGCTAAATAAGTATTAAGTAAAGTATTGTTAGATGTTGTTAGTAAAGGTAGATGTTTGTATATTTTGTATTGAAAAGGTTGGATAGTGTAATGTTTATGCAAAATAGGATCAGAAAGATTAGTATATATGTGTAGCTCAGTTTTGTTTTGGTTGATAGATATTTTGAAGCTATTTTTGAAAGAATGTTTTCAAAGATAGGACAGAAAGTTTCCAAGTATTATAGGATTATGTATAATAGGTAGATTGTGTAATTGTAAAAATTTGTTGTAGCATGTATTTGTTTCTGCAAGACATGAAGTATTGGAAGCAGAAACTTGAAAGATTGTATTGTCTTTTACAAGGTCATTTACCATTTGAAGCTTGGCTCGCACAGCTGTAGAGGATACCATAGTCTGTCCTGTACATTGGGTCTGGCTGTCATTAGCTTGGTTCTTCACATAATAGGCTTTACCACCTGCCTACTTACATTATTTTCCTTACTAACTACTAAGGATGTGTCTCTTAGCAAGGTAGCAGCTGCATTAAACATATTTATTAACTTTGTTAAATTATAGAATATTTATATTATTTTTTACCAAGTTAATATTTATTAAAATAATAAACATAATAATTTTGCTAACTAACTAGTATGCAATTATTACAACTTATTATATTTTATTTTTATATTTTATAATACTTACAATCTAGTTTATACTTTAATTTTGAGAATTTTCTTTTAGAGTTAACTATCAGTTATAATATTTGAATAATATATTATACATATATCTATTCACTTTGTATAACACAAAATTATTTTTACAAAAAAATATAAAATTATTAATTAAGTTAACTAACATGCCACCTGGTTGTATATTAATAATAATTAAAAAATTCTAAACTTTTTATACAACTTTTAATCTTTTATAGTTAACATTGGGAAATTTTATATAGAGATATATAGCAATTGGTAACCTATTAGATATATATTAATATTAATTACCCCTGCTGAGTTATATCAATTTTGGTATAAACTAATATATAACTAGCTTTAAATAATCGATATATATCTAATAAGGTTATCAATCGATATATAAACAGTTTAATCAAGTACTTTTTTTTAATAAATGATATTACTAATAAGATATTTATAAAACATATATTTTTTATAAAGCCAATTACAATACATAATATAAATTTATTACTGTTACTAAAATGTATAATTATATTATAATGCAAATAATAAAATTTTTTTATTTTTATTTTTTAAAGTTAAAGTCCCTATCTTAGAGATGCAACATTTTTATTCAAGTATATTAGGACACAGCATGCCACCAGTGGCTCACCTTATATTGAAGGTTACAACTAGCCACACATGCATTTTTGGTGCCTAATTTAAGTAGTCTGCTTATATATTGCTATATAAGTTTTACACTAGTTGCCATACCTGCAAGCCAACTAGAGGTCTTGCCTATTTAAACCCTTTGCATATGCAATCTTCCTTGTATTACAAGAAAATTTCAAGACTACACCCATCCAAGTTCCCAATGCTTGTTATTACCCTTAGAACTAGTTTATCCTTAACAGAAAATTTACTAAAGCCTTTATGTCCTACATATATAAATCTAGATTTATGCAACACACTATAGTTACCTAACACTTGCAATCACAGAAGTTATCTGTTTAACTATTATATCACACTATTTTTATCATTGTAAAGTTCACTAGAACCTCAGTATCTATCTTCTCAGCATTTTCTTCATCATCTTCTACTAGCCACAACCTAGAACTATTAGTCTCATTCCAGACTACCAATTCAGATGACCCAGTATAGTATACTCTGTATCCTTTTCTTCTGATATATCTGGTGACCTGGTTGGTTATATACTTCTCTATATATATTTGATGTCTAGTTTTAAACTTTGGTTTCTATGAAGATGTTTCGTGAACTTCAACCAGTCTGATGGTACTATTGAAAGTTTATGCTATCTCTTTATTTAGAAATTTTTAAGTGGATTTCTGTTACCTTAGTTCCTTAGTCTAAGTCTTATGCAACACCAGTTATATATTTCTTTATATATATATAATGTTATACTTCATATAGATGCCTGAGCTTCTAATGTTGGTAAAACCTAACTTGGTGTACCTGGGTAACAGCCATATAAGGCCAACTGATCAACAGAAGACAGTTATCATAATGCAGATATAATTTCAAATTTTAACATAGATGGGATTTGAACCTTAGATCTGCCACTTGAAGGATAACAACCCAACTACTACACTAAGATTGTCATTCTTAATAATAAAATTTATTATAATTTATTATATAATAACTGCTAGCAAATGTAACCTAATTTAAAAAAAAACTTTTAAAGCAAAAATTTAATCATTGCAACCAAATAAGTTATTAGCATACTTCTGTAAAAGTTCTATTTGATGTTGAGATAATTGCTAAAATAATAAAGAATCTGCTTCAGGTTTATAATGGAATGATTATTCATACTGAGATGATGCTTGTCTTGAACAACTATGATTCTTATTGTTTAGTATTAATTCAGCTATTTTATAAGATGGACCACCATTACTAAAATCATTCTATATTAAAAAATAATTAATTAATTACTATTAATAAAGCATATCCAGTTATTAATAGCACTTACAAGATACCTTTTGATATGACATATTAGATGTTTTTCTGAACATATGACACTTTTGAACTTGGGATTAAGTAAAATATTACAGACTGCAAGTATAAAAACATAATGCTCATTTGAGAGTGTAGGTACAGCAACCTTAGAAAAGACTGCTCTTACAATTATTGATACCCAAAAAACATTTTCATCATTTATTTTAAATAGCATACAATAATAATCCAAAACTTTATTACTTTGTTTCCAACTTATTATATTAGCTAGTGTAATATTTTTTTTAATAATAGTAGTTTTTCACAACTGAACATGTGCCAGACTACTGCCCTTATATTTTGAACTGATGCATCTTGCAAATTCTTTATTTTTTGCAAAAGCTATTGCAAAAATTAGTAATAAGTTATAATTAAAAGAAATAAAATTTAAAAAACAATAGATATTGATATATATAGGACTGAACCATTCTCTATAAAACCTATTAGTATATTGATTAGAACTTAAACTATGCATAAACTCAGGATACTTTTCTTTAAGACATTGTTTGAGTGCATCCTTCAAATTACTTTGACTAGGATATATGTTATACAGAAAGAGCTGCTTAGCCATACAGGTAAATATGTTCTATATTTTAAAAAACAATATATATATTACATACTAGATGCTATATACCACTTAAATATACTAGATCTAAATTGTTGCTAACTTAAAACACTTATATCTATCATTGGTGCAGAGAGATCATTCTCTTGTTGTTCTTGATTTCTTTTCAGACAACCTAGCCTGGCTTTGATTTTATTTGTACTTTTCTCAAGTCTTTTGAGCATTAAATATAAATGCTTAAGTTTGATGAACATCTGCTTATCAACTTGCTAGCAATACTGATGGCAGTCATAGTGGTCATGAAGATTATGGCAGTCAGGACAGCCAGAGTGGTCAGAGCAATCAGAGCAGTCATAGTTTGTTTAATGTAACAATAAAAAAATTTTTTTAAAAAAAAAAATTTCAACAGCAAATTGTTAAAAAAAAAAGCCTTTATATATGTACAACTTTGACTATGTGTATGATTTTGATTTGATAATCTTCTATTATGTGCTGGTGATTTTTTTTGTGATCATGATCTTGAAGAAGGTCATTGAACTGAAGATAATGCTTGATAATAATCAGTATATTGTGATTTAGAACAATATCTAAATTCACTATTTTGGGGAGTAATAAAAGGCTAATGAGATATGGAATAGGTAATAGAAGGCTAGTAAGATATGAAATAGATAGAGAATTGTTGGCATGATTAATGTCAAGATGCTTGTGAGAAAGATCTGCCTATATTTAAATATGTTCATTATATATTTCTAATGCTTTTAGTAGTTGAATCAGAAGATGAATTATCATCATTAGAGTTAAATGGTTAATAAGATTCAGTGATATTATTAGTATTTAAAAGTTGGAAGATATTTGACTAAGAATGAGTAATAGGTGCAGCAGAGTATAGTGGTATACTATTTCTAGATTGGTTTTCTATTATATTAAAAATTCTTTTATCATTACCTTTTATGTTAAACTTGTATTTATATTTTTTTGAATCACTATGCAAGAATAAAACAAATTAATATCTAACAATGTCAACCACTTATGATAAAAGAAAATTTAATAATGCAAGAATACTTATTACATAAAATTTAAATATAAAGTATAATAATGTGAGTATACTTATATTTATACAAAAATTTACTCATGTTATTAAATATAAAGTATTATAACAATTTCTGAGATACAATATATATACAATATTATTGCTAAGATTTATTAATATAAATAGTATCACCAACTTAATTATACATAATAGTTAGATATATAGTAAATTTTGGTCACCCAAAGTGTCATTATTGATGCATATTTATTGTGATCAAAGAACTTAAAATAATAATATAATACATTTAATTTAGATAGATCAAAAATGAAGTTTTAGATAACCAGAATTTACTATATATTATTTTAAAAAGATTTGTATAAAGTTGAGTATTTTGTAATATATATAAAAATTTATTTGAACTATGTAATAAAGCATTATACTTATATATTAAACTGTATATATATCTAAGTTATATTTAGTTATATTTTTAATATATAACATTTTTTATCACTATTGACTATTTTTATATTATAATTATTTACTGCTTACTTGTAATTAATTAGTTGCACTGTTTACTTATAGCATGCAATTTACAGAGGTTGTTGATTTATTGATTATTTTAAAAAATTTGAGTTCAATATAATAAAGATAATATATGATATATCAATGATCAATTTTGTAATTAAGTTTAATTAAGTTGTCTATGCTAAATATAAAGTTTATTTTTATTTAGTATGTTATGTTATCAAAACATTATTTATATAATTTGTTTTAACCAAAAAAAAATTTAATTTATTAGAAATATATATTTTTTTAAATCAATATATATTGCTTTAATATTTTATATAACCTATATTCTTTTTATACTAATTTCTTTACATTATACATTTACTCTTATTTTTTTGCTTTTTAAATATGTTGGCAGTGTGAGTATTGCAAGTAAGAGTTTTCAAAACCTTATGCTTTGACACAACATATTTTACAAAGACACCTTTATATTCAAAATAATACAACTCCAATTGCTTCTAATGAGCAATTAGATAATTCTATTTGGCAATTACCAAATTATAATGATTATAGTTCAAGTTATGAATATTCTACAAAATATAAAGTAATTTATAGATTTTTTTATAGCTATAACAATTAATAATAAATATTAAATATTTATTAATATAGAATGAAAGTATATCAAATAATCCTAGCATTATGAAAATAGAATCAGTAACAACTAATAATAATTTTATAAATTATAAGCTATCTTAAGAAGCATCTGCTGATGTTGATCCAGAAGATTATGAGAGTGCTTCTTTTGATAATGCTTTTTATAACTTAGAACATATCCAAACTATAGAGTAGCCTAACAATGCATATCAAGAATTTATAGAAATAATCAATAAGTATTAACTATTAAATTCAGCTAGAGATGCTATAATAAACTTTTTCAATATGTTTTTCAATTTAAATGTTTCACTATTACCCTTATCAACAAAAATTGGAAAGGAATTTCTTGATAATTCTATTGCCTCTTATGCAATGTTTAAAGAAATTCTAGTTAAAACATTTCAAGATATTATCTATACATTTTATTATTAGTCATTAATTAAAGCAATTAAATTATTAATATCGATAGACAGTATAAATCAATCATTAGTATTTTGATATGAAAAAAAATATGAAACAATAAATAGTTTTATACATCAGGTTTTTGAAGAGCAATATAATTGTAATTGTTAGAAATATGAGAAATCCAATTTACTAGTTAGGCAATGATTATTATCAATTATTCTTTATTCTGATACAACTACCTTAGATTATATAGGAAAATCTTCTGGGTATACAATTTATCTTTTACTTGATAATATACTCAATTCTCAAAGGAATAAACCAGAATCTAAGCATTAATAGGATATCTACTAATATTAAAGGCTAAGGATTCTACTGCTAGATCTATTGATAGTTTACAGAAGTTACAAAAAAAATGTTTCATAAATGTCTGAAAATTTTATTACTCCTATTATTAATGAACCTAAGTTAAATTTTATTATTTATAATAATATAATTACTTTTGTTCTACAAATTTCAATAATTATTGCTGATATGTTAGAAGCTAATAAGATAGCAAACCTTTACTATCCATCTAAATCGAAAAGACCTTGTAGTTTATGTTTAGTATACAAAGATAATTTGAATAATACAAGCAAACTAAACATAATGTCTAGAACTCTATACAATATGCAACAAATAATAAATAATAAAGAGGCATATAACTATTCAATCCATTCTGAAGCAAATGCATTTTGGAAAATAAGGTGAGTTAATTCTATTTTATATAATAAGTTTAAAAATTATATTACTTAATATCAAAATTATTAAAAACTTTAATATATATAAAGCAATTGTTTCTAATTGAATGTATACAATCGATCTTGGTCTTTTTAAATATATGCTAGATTATACTAGAGAGCTCTTATATAAACAATGTGAAAGCAAACTAACTCAAACTTTTGAGCAATGACTAACATTGATTTCTAGGTTTCAGAGTCTCAAAATTATAAGAATGTTTCTAATATAAGCCATATGACAGCTGATGAATTATAAAATTTAATGAAAATTATTATTTTTGCAATTGATAATTTTTATGAAAAGTATCAAAAACTAGATATTAGCAATAAACAATTATGTCAAATATATTATAAATTTCTTCAAATGTATATTATTATACATAATGAATCTTTTACTTATAGTTTTTGCAACCAACTTCAGGTAATTTTTTTTTTAAATAATATAATTACTATAGCAATTGATTACTAATAATTAATTTCAAAGAATTTTATTATGAACTGGGCTAAAAATTTTGTTAAAGTATTTTCTTCATATAATTCAAGTGGCATGCAACTTCCTAAACTTTATTCTTAATACTATCATATAGTTTTTGCAATTCAAAAATATGGATCTATTAACAGTATGACTACTGAACATATGAAACACTTCATAAATATATATTTTTTTTTCAGTGTTAAGGTGACCTCTTTGGTCTTTTGACTTTATTAATATATTTTTAGGAATATAGTTCCATAAGGAGCTACTACAGAAAAAGCATACAATTGGCCACTTGTATAACTTTCTATATTACCTATTTAAGAAGTCTGCCTAATGTTCTTTACCAATTGCTATACCTAACACCCCTGCTTGAATGTTCTATTTAAACCCTCTGAACCTGTTCCATGTTACTTCACCAGGTCAAGCCTGGATCCTTCGTTTCAACCTTAGGACAGTTATCCTTGAGGTAAACCTTCTGGAGCCTGCTGTTTACCCATTTTTGCAGCTGATCCAGATATCACTATGGCAGAACCAACACTTGCAGTCAGGGCTAACTGTTAAACTGCTATGCCTTTGTAGAGTTCACACAAACCCCAGTATCTACTTTACAGCATATTCCTAGTACTTTAGTATACTTCTGCTTCTTTTACAAACTCCCAATCCAGATAGCCTATATAGGACTATGACCAGTCTATCAGTATATCGGATCAGCCCGATATTCTTTTTCTCTGGTCCGATCTGGTGGTCTGGTTGGTGGTACCTCCAAGACTTCTAACCCAGAGGTTCTTGCCCGTCCAGCTACTTCAGCATTGGTATCTGTTTCTTAGATCTAGCCTTTACAGTGATACTATTGAAGATCTGTATTATCTCTCTACTCGGGTCTTCCCAAATGGGCTTCTTGTTCTTCAATTTTTACTGATTTACATAGCCACAAGAACTTATCTTGAATTTGCACTGCCCGATTTGTTGGTTTGCATTCTTCTGTGTAACAAGTTAACAGATGCCCCATGACCTGCACGTCATGCTGGTGTGACTATAATTACAGGTATCTTAACCCAATCATTAGGAACAGTTGTCATAATACCAGATTACATAGATGATTATTCAAATTTTCGCTATCTATGGGATTTGAACAACCAACCTACCCCTTGAGGGGTTGACAACCTGACCACTTCACTAGGTCACCACACTCCTCTTCATAAATATTATATTAAATTCTGTATCACATATCTAATAAAAAAAATTATATGAAGTAAATTCTAAAAACAGTAGTTTTAATTATTATTTTTTTATTATAATTGCTATAAATTGATTATTTTTTAGATAAATTATTAGAAGTTAACTGAACATAAAGCATCTAAGTAATATCAGAGGCAAATAGCTTTGAAAAGTTATTGTAGATATTAAAATTAAATGATATAGATTATTTTCTTAGCCATAACAAGGATATGAATACACTACATATTGAGAATTTTCAAAATATACTAATAAGTCTTGATAAATTTTTTGAAGAGAAATCTAATATTATAATTCATGATAATCATCAAGTTGAAGTGTTTTCTTTAGCATCATTAGAAAGTACTAATATATTCATGTGCAAAGAAGAAAAGCAGCTTGCAAAGAACAATAGAAAATTGCATATTAGAATATAAAGATCTCAGTAGGTGTAGAACACTACAACAAGAGCTAGTAATAAAGCAAGTGAGTGGCTTGCTATTAAGATTAAACAGACAAGACAGCCTAGGTTAGTTAACAAAGCTAAGAATTACACAAGGCTGTCAAAGAGCAGGTTTGACAAAAGATATTTAGAAAGTAGAAGAAGTACCAGTTAACAAAGTGTGATAAAAGAACAACTTAGCATGTCTAACAGTAATAAAAGCAAAAGAGCTAAAAATAAGTATAAGAACAGAAAGTAACCTTTGGAGAATATTTGGATATAGTACTAAAATAAGAGAACTTTTAGAAACACAGTTATGAAAAAGAAGTAGAATAGAGATAAATAAAGCAGGTTTAATTTATCTAAACCAACTGCTTGACATAAAAGGTAAGAAGCTAATCATATGGCAACAATTTAAGAACTTTTGTGAATGTTCAAGTAAAAGAAAAAAAGCAGAATAATTTAAAGAAATAGAGTCCAAAGTGCTCGAAAAATCAATGAACAGGAGAATTAAAGAACAATTTTAGACAAACAGACATAATACTCAAGCAATAAAAATAGTATAGAGGGCCATATCAAAAGATAAAAAAAGAAAAGAGTAGATAATATATAGTATACAAGAAGATAGACAGCTAGGAAAGATAATAAAGAAGAAAAAGAAAAAGGTTTTATTAGAGCATTAGCAAATACAAAGTAAAAAGAATGAAATAGCAACAAAAATTAACAGATGTAATGGATGCACAAAAAAAAAGATCAGAAAAAAGACAGTTGCTGGCAATAGATAAGAATAAATAACAAGATTAAAGTAGTTCCTGACATATTAATAGAAAAAAGGAATAACAAGATCAAGATAGTTATGAATTAGTTGATAGAAAAAGCAGAAACAGAAAGGTTGAAAGACAGTGAGCAGCAGCTTGAAGAACTAATAATGCTCGAAGGGTTAGAAATAGAAATAATCAAGAGACAGAAACTAAATAAGAATGTCAAACACAAAATTCTAAAGATACTAAGAAGAAATCTATCATGAAACAAAAACAAATACATTATATATACAGATGATACTACAAATATAAAGACTAAAGAAAAAACATAAGGCAGTAATATAGGAATAGGATGGGTCTAAACAAATGAAATGCAAGAGTGGCCAGAAGAAGAAACATTATTAGGTCTAGAAGGATGAATGACATCGACAACAGCAGAATTAGTAGCAATATGGGCAGCAATCCTAACAGTACTGAGAGAAAGACCAGTAGAAATATATACAAACAGTAATGCTGCAATTAGAAATATTAGCAGAGGTTTAGAGCAAATAGATAGAATGAGAATACTTAAAAAGAAAAATGTGATATGGATAATAAAGATTATAGACCTTATTAGCACAAAGAGTATACAGATAGAGTTAGTGAAAGTTAAGAGTTATAGCAAAAACAAATGAAATGACAAAGCTGATAGTCTCACAAAGAAGGGAACAATAAGTGAAAAAATAATACAAATAAAGAAAGTCAGTTGTGAAGAGATAGAGTACTGCCTAGAGTAGAAAAACAAATAAACTGACATACCTGCAAGATTGTTATGCAAATTGATAACAAATGCAATGTTAGGAGCAGAATAGAAAGAAACAAATGCAATTAGAAAGTTAGAACTGAAAACAGAAGTCATAATTCATGACTGAACACAATTTTGGAAAAGTTTAAAATTGACTAAAGAAGTTCATTGCATAACAAGAAGAGGTAGTACAAAAAGATATGTATTTATAAAGTGTATAATAGATAAACTTCCAATCTTA